ACAGTGTGTCCACACAGAATATAATAACCTTTACATTTGATACAGCGCCTTTCATGTACGGAGAATATCTTCATCACTGCACATGATTTACAGCAGAGTTTAATGCCTGTGTTTTGCAGCCGATGCCAAGCAGCCGTGAAGTGTGTATTAGTCGGTTTCACATGCAGCACTTTTGTCTCTGACTCTAAGGTTGTGTGTACACGACCCACATCGGCATTTTAAACTCATATAGTCCCGGCTCATACTACAAAACTGTGCCGGGGCTGTGCTGCGTTGTGAGGGACGCAATCCTTCAGATGGGACATTAAACGGAGGTTTGTCTGTCTGTTCAGGTCGATGTTAAAGATCCCAGGGCACTATTCGACACGAGAAGGGAGTGTCTCCCTGTATCCTGGCCAACAATCCCCATTTGAGAAATGTCCTTTTTTTCCCAAACAGAGGAATGTGTTCTATAACATCCACAGAAACAGACGACCAAATCTCCTCCAATACAGCTCAGCCCCTGCACTGCAATGCCGAGAGTTCCTGAGCTCCACACACAGACACAGGGCTTGAACCCACGGCCTTCTGACTGACAGGCGAGAGTGCTGCCAACTGAGCCGAGTTAATACACATAGTTCAGCGCTCAGACACAATACAAACAATTTACTTGTTTCCAAACACTTTATATAAACACTTAGACACAAAAGCTGCTTTATTTCCTGAATAGTTTGGGCTTCATAGTAATAGTCTCTAAAATACATTTCCAATGATCAATTGTACTCTATGAAAAAGGTTTCTGTTCTGCCATCACACGTGTTCCTCATATTGCTGTTAGTTTGTAATAAGGCGGCCATAATAACAACTGCAAATTGTTATTCCCTCTGATGCTAATTTACATGTTATAGATTTCCAATATTTGTTTTATTTTTGTGATATACAGTTTGGGTGGAGGGATTATAGTTACAGAAACATGAAATTACCAAGAAACCAAGAAGTTTTAAGCTCTGTAACATGTTTATCTGGTGTTTGTCATTGGTTTGTTGCCGGATAATATTAATGCTGTAGTGTGAAGTATTCCCCAATAGTTACAAATGCCGATCAACAGTTTTTGTAACCTCTGCAGAACAATATCTGAGACTTTAATTTGACAATTATTTTATTTCCACAGACAGAAGCCATGTGTGGAGGACGCTCTGTGTTGTTCGGTGGAACATTTTGAACCAGTTTCTAGCAGATGGCTTTCAGGTCAGTTTTACATTAGGAGGAAGTCGCTCTAATTTAGTGTCAGAAAGTGCAGGTGTTTCCTGCAGATAAGAAACTGACTCTTTCTCAGATCATCACGTGCCAATGTCAATGATTTCTTGTAAGTGTTGTTTGACCTGGGGCAGCAGGTTTCAGTAAAAGGGTTAATTTCAATTAATTTTTTTCTCCAAGTTATCAGTTGTGATTTGTACTTTAATTTGACTTTTCATATGGAGTACAGGGACGGTGTGTGTGTGTGTTGTGGTGGGAAGGGGATGGGGGAGTGTTGGGGGTTTAGGTTTCTCATTGGAAATGAATTCACTCCTCGGTGGAACGGTTGGCAACAAAATGTGGAACTGAGTCAATCCTCTGCGGCAATCCTTGACAATCCGGTTCCTGAGCCACGTGGGTTCGGATGTAATCCAGGTCCTGCTGTTGGCAAACCAGCCTGTCTGCCTGCCCGATTGGCAGGACCAGTGGGCAAAGCAGTCACAGTGGGCATTGGAGATTCATCCCATTTAAGTCCTGTTAACCCTGCAGGTCAAAGCACTAACACAGAGGATAATTCTAACTGGTCAAGTCGCAGGAAACTTGCCAGACAGTGCGTGCAATCGCAAGATTTCAAATTTAACTTATTAAACCCCAGCAGTTACACTTCCAAAGCCTAACGAACCAGCGTCTGAAATGCACCTGAATTAGGTTGGATAGGTCTGCTCCTCCTGGAAGAGATTTACACATTCCATTCCAGACATTAAGGGTTTCCTGAAGAACAGTTTTAGTTAAACAGAGTTTTGTCTCCTGTGCAAATTCTTCCTCAACCGACTCCTCTCTCACATACACACAGACACACATACATCAACAACAACAGCAATAACAGATCACATTTGTATAGCGCCTTTCATGTCTGGAGTACGTTCCAAGGGGCTGGACAGTGTACAGCATTTCAGACCCGAGCTGGGGTCGGGTGGGGGGGGGAAGGAGGGAAGGGAGGGGAAGGTGGGGTGACCGATGAGGAGGCTTTTGAGGCGGGTCAGGAAGGAGGCTAAGGAGGGGGCGAAGTGGAGTAATTGGGGGATGGAATTCCAAAGGTTGGGGTCAGTGTGATATATATGTATGATTTTGTATACACAATAAATCTTCTTAAATGTTCATCAAGGAACATGATCTTTTTGGGGAATGTATCAAAGAAGTGATAAGGAGTTATATTCAATGCAAAGAATATTATCATTTAAAAACTATCAGAAAGTTTTAGAATTCAAATTTTTTTGGAATCAGTACAAACTCTATCGTGATTCGGAGCTTTGGGACGTCCTCCCAGTATGAAAGACGCTTTACCAATGTAATTTGTTCTTCTTGTCACCATTTTGCTGTAGTTGATGCAAGAAATTTATGGAAAACGTACTTTAAATTTATGGCTGTATTTTACGATTTGCCAAGTTCTGGATACAGTAAAACTCTGCAATGAACAGTAAAGTTTGACACAAGCGAAATTCCTTCCCTGTTGTGCTGATTGTCAGGGAGGGTAACGGTAGGAAGCAAAATACATGTACAGAGTGGCGGCTAAACACAGGACATGGCCTGCATTTGAAATTCAAAGCAAATCTGCGTAAATACTATTTCAGTGAGTGAGCAGTAAACGTATGGAACAGTCTCCCTCGGGAGATGGTTGGAACATAACCTGTTGATTCTTTCAAAAGCAAATTAGATGAATGTATTTTAGGAAATAATATTGTGGGATACAGTATATAGTGTGAGACCTGACATGTGCATGTGACTGCCAGGATGGTGGAAGGCAAACTGGACAGACCATAATCTTCTTTCGACTAACAATTCTTATGCTCATATGTTTTTCTTATGTTCAAACTGATCTGTTACAGTAGATCAGCTCAGATTAAAAGCGGATATAACTGAGGATAAAAAATGCTTAAAAATACTGAATGCAATATAATAATAAGACTACAAATAATAATCCTTGCATTTGACATAGCGCTTTCCATGTCTTCTCGATGTCTCAAAGCGCTTTACGGAATATGCTGTAAAGTGAATTGACTGTATATTTGTAGGTGAAACGCGGCAGCCAATTGCGCACAGCAGTGTCCCACAAACAGTCTTGAATTCAAAATGACCAAATTGTTTTTTGGAGGGATTATTATCAGGTGTGTGGAGTAAGGAAACTTGGCCAAGGTTTCGCCCGGCCTGGAATCAACCCGGGTGTCTCGCTTGCAATGCGAGTGCTTCAACCACTGAGCTACAGGACTCCACAGCACTCCCTTTGTAGAACCTCAGCCGTCATGTTTCTCGTTTAAAAAATTGTTTAAAGTTATCTATCTCTGAACAACAAGTTTGTCCTGCAAGTCTTGTTTAGTACGTTCACATCAGTAAGACTGCACTTTCCCTCAGTGGAACGTGAAGCACATCACTACGCTATGGGCACAGTGAATCTGTACAGGTAATCCAACAACCGTTTAGAAAAACATTTGACATTTTCTTTGCTCCAGAGAACATTAGGGATGGGGGGAGTGTGTGCGGGGGAGGGGAAGTAGAATAATTGATAGCCAACAGTATAGTTGTAATTCAACTGCTCTGATTAGTTAAGTCATTTGTGCATATATTTAGCTTCAATATAGATCAGGGCTTGATCTTTGGTCGAAGCAGAATCATGAAGATAAATGTTACACCACATTTCCGCACTCAGCGGGTTATCAGGGTTCCAATTCATCAATAGAATTGGCTGTGAACTGGGTTACAAGGGAATATGGGGGAGAGCGGGGAAATGCTTACTATTCGAGATATGCAAATATTAATTTTAGAGAAAATAACAGCCGACAATGGACGCAAAATATGTGCTTCTGTGCAGGGAGTTTCTGTGGAATGGCGACAATATTAATTCTGGATCTGTTCATTTTCTTTAAAATATTGAAATAGGTGAAACGGCAAACGGATTATTGCACGTGTCTGTCTGTCTCTCTAATGTTGAAACTAACATATGAAAGATGTACTTATTGATTTTCTGTTTGCTGAAAGTCGACCATCTCAGTAGTAATCCTGAGGTTTGTTATGGAGCTTTTCACATCAAGGAGATGTGTCAAAGCACTTCAATAGTTTGGTAAGAAGGCAAAAGGACCCAAGAACCAAACGCATAACAACACAGCACAACCCCAGCAGAGCATTGGAGTGTATTTCACAAACTTCAACTCCATTATTGTCAAATTCCGATGTGGATTTGAGCCAAAAACCTCTGTCTCAAGTGGTTGCACATGTTGTTTGCTGCCACGTCAGCAAGACGTCCCAAAGCCTTTCACAGTTTAAACTGTGAAGAGGAGTCTGGGCCAACACAGCAGCCCAACTGCCCACAGCTGGGATTTGGGCTTCATGGCCTCCCACTGTGGTGCTGCTCAGATTGTCAGCTCAGCACAGGCAGGAGATGAAGCTCTCTGCATATATCAAACACATTGCACACTCACATTGTGCTATAAATACTATAACACAGAGCTGCGCGTTACTATATTAGAATAGCCATGTGTCTGAAGCTGTATCTGGTGTGGAGCTGATCATTGGGGGACGGAAGCAGCTGCTGGTCACTGGAGCGGAGAAGCAATTCAAGTACAAAGATTGACGCCCATTAGTTGTTCCAGCAAAACCCGAACTGAAGTCGGACAGTTCATTCAACAGCTTTTGTTTAATGCTGAGCTTCTGTGAATCTGAACAATTTGGATCAGAAGTCAAGGCGGCATTGACACAAAGGGAACAGGAAAGACACAGATCAAACAGCTCACTAACTTTTATCATTTATTGATACTTCGGGCAAACAAATAGAGAGAATCTGTAGGCATTATGGAATAGGATCGGATCACAAATACTCATCTTCAGAATGAAATAAAAGGACAAAATATAACAGCCTCTGTCTTTCTGTATCATTACACCACACAAATAGTAAACAGCAAATAAAGAATATCAGAGAGGTGTGACAGTACATGAAATAACAAGGTTATATATTATTAACAAAAGGCACATTGTAACATAGACTAACAATAAGAAAAGTCACTAAAATTCATGTAGTTGTACAATACAATGTTTACTTCCCATGAATGCGTTCATTGGGTGAAACAAGACATCACACACTCTGTCACAGGAAATTGAAGATAAACACAAACAGATGAGGAACATCGGTGAAGCTGATGGTAATAAACTCATTTTACCTGGAAAATAAAAGTAAAGATATGATGAATAATTTCAGCCTGGGAGGAGATTTAGTATTTCAGATTGTGTTTATGTGTGTATGTGAATGTCCACCCCCCCCCATACAACACCCACAAACACACACAATCCCAACTGATACTGTGTCAGTGGGTATTGGTCTGTCATTGCCTTATACAGGCAGAAGCCCTTCGCTTTCAAGTATCCACAATATACTGAAAGATCCACAAGATCAGTAAATGAGCCTCGCTCCTTGCCTGTGGCTATACCAGGTGAGCATATGTCAGGTGTGATAGGGTGTGTAATGGTGAGAGGATATGTCCATCACCCTCACACAGCTTGGTCACACGGATCCTGTCCTGTGGGGACAGGGGGAGTTTCCCAGCACAGTGGCTGCAATGAGCTTCACCATCAGTTCCCGTGGAAGAATTATTTACCAGCAGCTGTTACATCAGATCATAGTGTCAATGAATTTCCTCTCCCCACCTTAAATAGAGTGACCGTGGCACTGTAGAAAATACTCAGGAAGAAGAGGATGATGAAGGTGGAAGCTGTCGGCCAGAGGTTGTCATGTTCATCTTGTTGAAAACCTTCCAGCATCGTCTCGGTTGGGATCACCTCTGTGAGGATGAAAATGAAGAAATATATTCAGAGGGGATTGAAACCTGAGACTTTTCTTTTCCCTTTTGATTATTAATGTATATAAAGTTTCCCAGTTGATCGTGGGCTCCCTCCCTCTACTGAACTACACAGAACCTCCTGCCAAACCTTCAAAACTTTTAATTTTCAGAGAGATGAAAAAGTAATTGATTTTACTGTTTGTTTATTTGTTCCAAAAAATATTAAATCCAGAGAAGAATTTTGGAAAAACATTGAGAAAATTAAACTTGTGGAATTACAAAAGGTGAAAATACTCCCATTGAGAGTCTTCTGATAGAAAATGGCCAAATCTACTCCAATGCTCCAATTCCACCTTTCTGCTATTCTTTTCCATGTTCACACTGTGACTATTCNAAAAAAATTCAAATTCCTTTACATTACGGTATTGTGATCAACAATCCTATATTCTAAAAGATCTGCTGTGCGCAGTTGGCTGCCGTGTTGTCCCCAACGTACACGATCAATTCACTTTAAAATACATTCTGTGAAGCGCTTTGAGGCATCTCGGAGATGTGATAAGCTGCTATATCAAATGGAAGGATTACTGGTAGTAGAAGTACTGCGTATCTGTAAATAAATATCGACTCTGCCTTTATATTTTTCAGTGACATTCTTGGGTGTTTTATACTGTTTGTATGGATACAATCGTCTTTCACTATGTCAGTCTTTCAAAATCTTCATACATTTGAAAACGTGTATTTAGAGACTTCCCTTTTTTTTCCTTTCGCTTTTTATGAGAACAGCCACAGTGTTTGAAGCTAATCCTCATCACTGTAACGCCAATCACAGAGATCATCCGTGTGATCTTTGTGAAACTTCCCTAAACCCACTCAGTGGCTCTTATGTCCTTTGTATAACAGTGTCCAGAACTGCGCGCAGTGCCCCACCCACAATCCTGCTAACTTTATATAGAATTGGCAATCAATTTCCGCTCTGAAAAATACTGAATCCATTTTTATGGTCTTTTGATATTGAATCCCATCGATTTATACTCCAAGTTTTCTTCATTCCACTTATATTAGAATTATTTTGCTGTAATACCTTTAGTGATTATTTTCCTAAATATACTTTCAAAAAACTGCTGTGTCAACATTGAACTTCATTTCCACCTTTCTGCCAACTCAGCCGAACGCTCTGTAACTTTATGCCATTCCCCATGTTATTCCTGACTGTGTCCTTTACCATATTATGTCATCATCAATATTTTTATCAATGGCACTGTGCCTATTTCAAAATGGTTAATATTGCTGTAAAGCAATAGAGGAACCGACACAAACGTCAGGTTACATCAGCTGAAGGGATTGAGGGTTAAGTGTAACGGTTCATCCCTGAGCTTTATTGATTACCACCTTTGCTGCATGTGGCCATGTGAGACTGATTGGGGAAGGGATCAGACACTGACACTCACTGTCAAGGTGATGCTTCGTATCTTAGAGAACAAAAACATGTATCATATTCTCAAAAACCTGCAGATTCACCTCAAGGAAAATGGTGACATTGAGTTGTATTTGTTACAGCAATGTATAAAAGGGGAGAAGCCAGTTTCCTGACAGTGTGGGTGTCCTACTTGGTGAAGTGTCACAGCAATGTAGTTTTGTGTGAGTGTACGTGAGTGCGCATGGACCGGGTGGATGTGTGTGTGTGTGAGTGTGTGCTCCTGGGTGGGCCGAGATGGATGTGGGTGTTTATCAATGTGTATCGGTCTGGGTGGGTATGAGTGTGTGTGAGTTGATTGTGGTTCTGTGTTGTGTGAGTGTGTGTGAGTGTGTGTGGGCCTGTGTTGTGTGAGTGTGTGTCAGTGTGCGTGGGCCTGTGTTGTGTTGAGTGTGTGTGGGCCTGCGTTGTGTCAGTGTGTGTCAGTGTGTGGGTCTGTGTTGTGTCAGTGTGTGTCAGTGTGTGGGTCTGTGTTGTGTGAGTGTGTGTCAGTGTGTGTGGGCCTGGGTCAGTCTGGTTGTGTGTGGGGGCCTCAGTGGATGAGATTGTATGTGTGTCTATGTGGACTTGGGTGGATGTGAGTGTGTGTGAGTGTATGTGGGTCTGGGTGGATGTCAGTGTGTGTAGGTCTGGGTGGCTGTGAGTGTGTGTCAGTGTGTGTGAGTGTGTGTGGATGTGAATGTGAATGAGTGTCTTTGTTTTTCAACCAACGAGAATGGCTCAGTGGGTGTATTTGTGAACATGTTGCTGTACCGGGATCTGTGTCTGTTGTTCAGCAGTATTTAGTTTGACAAAAACAAGTGGAAATCCATCCCTGTGCTTAAGAATATCCAAAGCAAACTGACTGTTCTACTAACTTGATACTATCATCGCTTCAAACAAAAGGTGTATCATTCCTCACTCTGAAAATTGTCTGCGCAATTAATTGGAAATCATCCCCTCTGTACCTGACTCATAAATACAACAATGATCTTTATTTGAGTTACTTTTTCATGACTCCAAATTGACAATGCAATGGTCGGGAGGCGGGTGCACAAAAAATAAGCAAAATGTTATTGGGAGCCTCATTGACAGGCATTCACGGTGTCCATCAGGACAAGGGAAATGTTTACAAAACTCGGTTTACCGCTGGATTTATTAACGGCTCTGGTCAGGGTCTTCAGTGGGAAAGTTTCATGTCCGACCACACAGGAGTAGGAATAGCCTCTGTCCCAATCTCCGGCTGAGATGGATAACATGCTGTACATGGAGTAATCGCCATCTGCACTGTCTGCCATCACCTCAGTGTTCTTGTATTTGTTGGCATCAATCGATTGGTCATTCACAGTCCACTCCACAAAGATCTCTTTGGGAGCGAAGTTCTTCACCAGGCAACTGAGGGTGAGAGACTGCTGAGCAGACAATTCTTCTGCCGATGGGAGAAGCAGATACACTGAAGGTTCTTTCGTGTACAAAACTGTGGAAACAATAAAATCAAATCAATACACTGATGCCGTCAATCAGAGAAAGCCTTCAAGCACAAGATACCGCTGAACAAGCTGAGAGTAAAGTGTGTTTCTGCTCAGTATGTGCGCAGTGGTTTATAATTGTTGGTGTGGCTGGGAACACTGGAGTGGATTGAAAACTCCCAACAGAATTTGGGATTAACTTGATTTGCGCTCAGTGGCTTAGATGTGGCTTCCTTTGCTCCACGAAAACCTGTTAAAATATCCTCAGGTGTAATGATGAAGTTATTTTTTATGTTATTCATGTCAGAGGATCTGCTTATCAGCTTATATCTATAAATATTTTCCGGCATTTGTTCGATGTGACAAATCTATCGACAGAATTATAAACAGAGACAGACAATTAATAATTGTTTTCACAATTGTATCTGTTGCCTATATTATGAAATTACAATAAACAAATAAATTGTTTATTTCCTGAACTTGGATGCTCACCGGGCTCCTTAAATATCTTTTTTCTGATGGGAGTCGGTATATCGTCATGGCTGACAATGCAGAAGTATACTTTCCCACCGGTCCAGTCTTGTGTAGAAATGTTTAGTTTACTGATCAGTTCCTGAGGCCCAGTGGCAGATGGTTTTCCATATCCAGACTGTAAATGTGTCTGTTCTTGTGTCCAAGTCACGTTGACGTCATGTGGTGCATTCGCCACGACACATGTCAGCGTTACAATGGGTTCCATCAAAACCTGTTTCGGTGAAGGCGGCAGGAAAGAGACCTTGACAGGTTCAGGAGGATCACAATCTAGAAAAGGAAAAGAAACTTGAAACCCAAATAACAGCCAATATCCAGGATTTCATATTTGATGAAGTTAAGCAATACTCTCCATGAATATTCTCATGTTCTGGGTGAGCTGAACACACACCGCGGTTTCCTAATAGAATTATCAGTCGGTATTGAAATGATTTAATGGAAAGATGAACAATCTTCTCTAAAACACCTGCGTGATATTTGGCCGATTGATTTCCAATTCCCTCCGACTGACAACAACTCAGCATTAAACATATACATTGGATGAGTTGTAACTCTGCAGTCTGCGATTCACTGCATATCTGCGCGGAGTGACCAAATTGACTGTTTGTGATCAGGAAGTTCAGTGAAAGTAGACGGGGAGGAAGAGGGTGGAATATGGGAATTACAGCCACAGTCACGTGGACCTGTGAGAGATGCCAGATCTCCCCTTGAGCAGCAGATCAGAAACAGAGCCACACAGTGCGGCTGCCTGGCCATCTCCTGATAACACAGTGAGGATCGGGTCCCGATTTCCTCATGTTGTACACATCCATAAACTTTGGTTCAAGGCTCACATGTGCATTGATCCCAATGAAATATACAAAAGGAACTCAACCCAAAGTGCCCCAGAGCTCCCACAAGTGGACATTTGCAAGGAAACTGAGAGCCCTGTTGTTGGTGTGTGTATCAGCTGGTGCTGTGCCTCCTACCTGGGTACTTGGTGATGTTCTTGACAGTGATGGTGTGGGAGGGCTGATGGGTCACCTTGCAGGTGTAAACCGAGTCGCTCTTCCCCTCTCTGGCGGTGACAGTCAGACGGCTGCTGGTGCTGAATGTCCCATTGTTTTCAACCGAGGGAGAGGTCACAACACCTGAGTGTATGGGCTGCCAGTCCTTCAGCCACTCAACCCTGAGACTGTCCGGACGGAAACCGTATATGAAGCAGATAGCAGTGGTCGGTTTGCGCATTGCGATTCTCATGTGTGGATAACTCACTGAGTCTGAATTTTTTTTTTTTTTTTTTTTTTTTTTTTTTTTTTTTTTTTTTTTTTTTTTTTTTTTTTTTTTTTTTTTTTTTTTTTTTTTTTTTTTTTTTTTTTTTTTTTTTTTTTTTTTTTTTTTTTTTTTTTTTTTTTTTTTTTTTTTTTTTTTTTTTTTTTTTTTTTTTTTTTTTTTTTTTTTTTTTTTTTTTTTTTTTTTTTTTTTTTTTTTTTTTTTTTTTTTTTTTTTTTTTTTTTTTTTTTTTTTTTTTTTTTTTTTTTTTTTTTTTTTTGATTCGATATCTGAGGGGAAAACAGTCACTGAGCCTCCAGAAGAGGATTGTCCACAGTATGGCAGCAGGGCGTAAAGACTGGGAGGAGTATTTACAGCTGGAAACCAAGAAGAAAGTTAGATTTGAGGTTCTGCTTTTCTGCAATTTGGTCAGACACACAGATAAACTAAAATAAACCTGTGACCCAAATCAATATAAGTATATATGCATTTATGTATCTTCATACGTGCACATAGATATGTGTCTGTATGTCTGTGTGTGTGTATCTGTTTATGTCTCCTGTATGAGTAGAAGTCCTGTGGCTCAGTAGTTAGAGCACACGCCTCACAATCGAGAGACTTGGGTTCGGTTTCCGTCAGGGTGAAACATTGGGAACGTTTCCTTACCCCACCCGCCTGATAATGATGCCTCAAGAAAAATAAATAAAATAAAATTGGTTATTTCAATGCACCCAATTGGTTGCCTTGTTTATCCCACAAATATACAGTCAATTCATTTTCCATTATACTGTGAAGCGCTTTTAGATGTCTCAAAGATTTGAAAAGCACAATATGAAATGCAAGTATTATAATGTATACATGTATGTATATATGTGTGTATGTGTGTGTTTGAGTGTGTGTGTGTGTGGTGTGTGTATACACGGATTGAGGTGTTAAACCAAGGCCCCGTCTGCCATCAATTCCACGTTAACGATCTCATGGCACTATTCAAAAACAGAAGTCAGTATCTCTCTCCCTCTCCCTCTCCTGTTGTCCTGGTCAACAGTCACCTATATAAAATTGACCAATCACTCTACGTGTGTTGGTGGGACATTGTTTTGCTCAAATGGCTTCTGTGTTTTCCCACAAAGTACAGTCAATCCACATTACATTGTATCCTATGAAGCGCTTTGAGACGTCTCACCACCGTGATAGGCACTGCACCTAAAGCAATGATTATTATGTTATTTTTGTGTGCGTGAGTGTGTGCGTACCTGTGTGTGCGTACCTGTGTGTGCGTGCTGGCTGGAGTCGTGGCTGAGAACAAGGCTTTCACAGATGACATTTAAGGAGTAAAGTATTCTTAATGAACATCTTCAAGGCTGAGACTGAGAGATTTTTAAAAAATAGAGGGATTAGCGGATATGGGGATAGGGCAGGTAATTAGAGTTAGGTCTGAAGATCAGCCGTGACCTTATCAAATGGCGGGGCAGCTCGAGGGGCCGAATGGCCTACTCCTGCTCCTAATTCTTATGTTCTTATGTAATGTACTTGTAATCTTTGTCACAGTTTTTGTGTAAGAAAAACTGTGTTTAGTGCGATGTGTATCACCTGCCCAACTGGTCATCCACTTGATGATCTTTAGGAGGGCGGCGTTTCTCCAGCAGAGGAAAGGTAATGTTAAAGACACCCGGACATGGTGCAGAACACAATTGTGTCAAATAACTGTGTAAACCGGGCAAGTTTCCTAACTCCACACTCCTAATAATAATCCCTCAAAAACAAAACAACAATAAATTGGTCAAATGCAGGGATTATTATTATTATTATTGTTAGAATAATGATCCTCTCAGAGTTTGAGAGGAGAGGTGAGAGTGGTGGGCGGAGCTTTCTGTAAGAGACAGTCGGAGCAGGAATTTCTCTAATTGTTACTGAATTCTTGACAACAATGTTAGTCTGAATTTGTATTTCCAGAAAAAAATGGAGGCGCAGTTTCAGGATAAAATGAATCTCCGGATAGAGCTGAACTATCTTCCTGGGGGGCGGGGACCAGGAGCTGAATTGGCTCCAAGGTGACACATTTGGCTGTTTAAATGTAAATCCGGTTTAAATTTCAGATCCCAATAATGTTGTTCAGCTGTGACTGTCTGTGTGAGAGAGAAACTGCTAATCTACACAGCAAAGCCTCGACTGCATCGTCTGCGAAGCAGCTTCAAGTCACCACGTGACCAGTTTAAGTTTAGAAACACAGAGAGTCAGACAGTGTCCCTGTGATTATAATGTCATTCTAAACCCTCTCAGACTAAAATATTCACAGTTCTTTCTCCGAGCAACAAGGCTTTAAAATGTAGGGTCCATTGTGGCTTTTTGAAAAGCAGCTGAAATTAAAATGTTGCTTAATTAATTAAATGTTAATTAAAATGTTGCTTTGATTTCCAAATCTTCTGTTTAATTTGCCAATAAATATTTATTTCAAGAATATTCAAACCTCCGGATAATCTTATATTGTCATAACAATCGTCTGAAAATTTAAACATTGAGACTTTTTGGTTCTGACATTTACTCAAACAATTTATTCTGTTCAGATTGGTTACAGAATTGCCACAGACAATTTCCCACCTGACAGCCACTGTGTTGGTGTTAAAATAGTATATTCCTGATTGTCTGAATAATGATGGATTACGGTCAATATTAACTCTTTCAGCTACAAAACTAGAGAGACCCAATAATACAACAACTTGCACTTATATAGCGCCCTCCACGCAGGGCAGCGTCTCAGAGCGCTTCACACTGGCAGAGCCTGACTGATAATGGGCAGATTCAGTGGTTGACCTGAGGAATGAAGGAGTGTAATCAGTGCTGTGCCCAGGACACGCCTCGCACAGGGAATCCTGTCTGACTTGTGATTGGGATCAGCGGAACCTGCAGCAGCCGCTGGCCCTGCACTGAATGGGGACACAGATGTTTACAGCATATTTTGGAGTATGTGTTACACATCGGCTCTTAAATAGTTGAATAAAGACAGAGGTCTCTGTCCGGGGGTTTGATGTCAGTGACGCTGCATTGACTAAGGAGCAAAGCACTTTTATATTGATATTGTGGAATATAACACTGAATTGAAGAAACTATTCATAATTCTGCACAATTTTACACTGTACCACAAATGGTCTCCTCACAGACTGAGAGGAAGTGAATTTCTCGGCCTCTGGGAAGATATTGATGAAAACAAACCTTCACATTGCTCTTTCCTACCCCTCGATCTGAGGGTTAAACATGAACCCGACTCCCAGCCGCTCTCCACACAGTGAGATATCCCGGTTCAGCCATTTGCTATTACACTGCTCAATGCCGGTTAATCAGGTCTCACACACCATCACAGCCTGAACCCTCACATCTCAAACACAAACTCTTTCCATCCAATAAGCCACAGGTCGCTCCATGTTGTCTCTCTCTCAGCTGAAGCTCTCAGTAACTGCACAGCAGCTTCACACACTCTCCTTCCACATCACACGTGAAGCATTGTACATTGTGCAATGTAACTCACAGTCACAATTCCCTGCAGCTCAAACAGTTACACAGAATAACTAAATCATGTATTTACAGTCAAATGACAAACTCATTCCTTTCACCCTCATCTCTACCGACTCTGGAGTTGGAGCTGATCAGTTCTGATATCATTATTTTGGTGTCAGTGACCAGTGTCGCTGTGTGTTAAACATCTCATAAACAACTGGATCTGTTACATTGCAGTGTGTGATTCAGAGTTTACCATTTGTTTATTGAAAATCAACAAATTTAAAATCTTTTTTTCTGCAGATCATTTTGTGTAAAACAGGAAGCTGATGATTATAGATCAGCAGCGACCTCTTGTGTCTGTGCACTGTGAGGAAGTGCGGTCATGTTCACTCGATTGCTGTTCAAATCAATTAAAATCAAGTCTGAGCTCTCACTCTCGCTGACTAAACCATGACTGGTGTGAGGGGCAACTGAGGCAACGAGACTGTGAGCAGCACATTAATGCTGATATTAATTAAAATAAAAACCTTCACTATTATTGCTGTAACATCCGTGCAGATTGAGCTGCTGTGTTTACAATCACATCCCAGCAGTATAAACCCACTTTACTCTCAGACTCACCCCCTCCCCCAGATTGAGACACTTTAAACTGCAGCCGCGGTCCTTATGTTAAATAAAGGATTGAAATACATATTGGAATCGATCAGATAACCTTCCCATCGCTCATCCAACAACATTCCGGCCCTGATTCCCAACACGTGGGCATAGATTCAAGCACTTTCATACTATTCCTGACGACATTATACCCGAAAACTACCCACCGCCAGTCACCGCGATCAGACATTGCACAAAGACCGTCAGTGTAACCTCAGTTGTACATTCACTAACCACCAAAAATATCACCAACAATGAACTAAACATTGAGAGAATAATCCATAAATCAACAGTGGCTGTTGAAAGCGATATCAGGGAAACCCCTTTAACATACATTAAACTGCGAGATAGCCTGGCAACGCGGAATTCATTACAGCAAATAGTTGTTAAAGTGAATCAAACAAACATATAAAACAATGTCAGTATTGTGAGTGAGTAAGTGTGTGTTTCTTACCATTAGTCACCGTCATCATGGTGCCTTGTCCCCAGTAGTCGAGGTAGTCACTGTGCTCCAGTCAGTGGGCTGCCCACTGCAACAACCTGCTGTGCGGGCAGGACACACCAACACAATATTATTGTAAATGTTGACTCCCCCAAACCAAATGCAGGTCACGATATATTTCTGTAATGTTCTGAACACTATTGCCCGGCTCTGTGTTGACCTGTTAAATGTTTGTGTCTTTGCCAGTTTGCTGTGTTCATGTCAAACACCTTTTCTTGTCACCAACAGATTGAAGATGAAATGTTATGTTTTATGTCGATTAAAATCTGGTAAAATCCTCAGTGGAAGGCGGCATTTTAAACATACCAAATCCCTGCACATTAAGTGGCCACACAAACGAACAGTGAGAGACATGAGCTGGTTTGGTGTTGAAGGGTTTTTGTATTGACAGTTAATGCTGTGGCCCAGGTATTATACTCACTGTGATACTCACTGTGACACAAACTCCTGCACAGGATAAACTGATAAAATATTGACTGGAATATCAGACACTGACTGGACCTCAGCTCAGATTCACCAGTGAGGCTTCATGTGATGTTTCAGTCAGAATAAATCCTTATGTTTATTAGAGACTTTGGATTAATGTTAAAGCAGCTCCACAGACGTCAGTCTTGTTTAATGCCGTCCTGTAATCTAAATCATTCTGAATTCATCTGTTAAATACCAGGTCATTTATGAGAAGGATCCACTCTCTGTAACATTTATTTGGAGGCTGTGGATGTTTCAGTGATGACAGGGGTGAGCAGCCTCTCTGGCTGGGGTTTTTGTATGAGGAGATGGCTGTGTGCAGCATAGTGATCCTCTGTATACACAGTGACACAGTCCCATACAAATACTGCCCTCAATGTCTGCTCAACACTGGCTGCCAAAATTCACTGAAATGGCCTATTCCCCTGTGACATGACATCGAGTCTATCTAATACTTTCTTCATAGCCACAGAAACAGAAAACAAATCTCTCCAACAGCTCAGTTTGTAACAAGAGGATATCTGTGAACCGTCACATCGCCAGTCTCCAATCGCAGTCCTTCCCGCCTCAAACAGCACAGTGTCACTTACCAACTGAAATCCCAGAATATTACAGCACCAATAAGCAGATCATTCGCCCCATCAAACCACGACTCACTGTGTAGGTTTAACATGAGAAGAAATCCATTTGAAGCTTTTCCTTTAATCTTCGCTCCAGACACAGCATTGACACCATGACTGTCAGGCAGTTTAGGGTGGGAGGGGCCGCCTTTCCTCCCCTTGTGTATTTGTAGGAGTTCAGCCCCGTTTCCTCTCACTGTGACCCTCTCGCACAGTAATAGATGGCGGTGTCGTCCACTCTCGGGCTTTTGATGATCAAATCGAAGATGTTATTGGAATTCTCTTTGATGACAGTGACACGGTCTTCAATCCCAGGCGCGAAAGCTTTGTAGGATGAGCTGTAATAACTGAGGAGCCATTCCCGCCCCTTCCCGGGAACCTGCCGGACCCAGCTCATCCAGTAGCTGCCGAGATTAAACCCACTGGTTTTACAGGTCAGTCTCAGGGGATGGCCAGGTTTCCCGGTTAGAGACGGCGGCTGTGTCAGCACCACCTCGGCCTGGACACCTGTAAAGAATAAATGACCGAAGATTAATGACTGTGAAACCTCCCGTCTCTGTGACATTGCAGAGAGAATAAGACCGACACAGGAAGAGTGAGACTGTCAGAATAATAGCACTCACGGGAGAAGACAGCCAGCAGCAGACTGAGAGAAATCAGGGACCTCATGTTTCTGGGCACTTGTCAGAACTGAGACTGGAGCCGAATAACCGAGGGCCAAAGAGCTGCCGGACAGATGGCCTCAGTCCCCAGTGACCGCTATATAACGGGGCAGTGGGGCAGGGGGTGGAGAACCCACCAATAGCTGCAGGACTGAGGGGAGTCACGTGTCACATTCCCTCTGACCTGCACACAGCAATAACTGTACCTTTACATTCTGCCTTTACAGCAAATTAATATTAATATAAGTCTCAATAGTATTAGCCCTCGCGCTGACCCTGAAGCATCGCAAATTCCTTCCTTCAATGTTTCTGAGTGTGTGTGTGTTTGCAGTGTGTGTGGAGGAGGCGGGAAATTCAATACAAATCTGGTTCACACTTATTTCAGTGAGCGACTGTAAAGGGGGGAGATGATGAAGCTGAAAATGTTGATTCTTGTAAAAAAATAAATAAGTTATGTTACTTTTTGGAAATAATATTGTGCGATACAATATATTGTTTAGGACATGACATGAGCCTGCGACTGCCAGGGTGGTGGAAGGCAAACCAGATGGACCTTGGTTTCTTTTCGTCCTGCAATTCTGATTTTCTTACTTTCGTATAATTATAAGTATTATTCTAATAATCCTTGCATTTGACATATCATCTTATCATGTCATTGAAACATCTCAAGCCACTTTACGGAATGCATTATAATGTGTAGTAACCGTGTATTTTGTGGCCAAAAAATAATATTGTGCCTTAGTTAAAACATTCATTATTTTCTATGGTTTTGCAATGTTCTGATCTAATGTAAATAATTGTCCCGATTCTTGTCTTCCAATCCTGATTCCATGTCCCACGTGGGCATCAAGACATAATAATAGTAATAATCCTTGTATTTGATAGAGCACCTGTTCACATCTTCAAGACGTCTCAAAGCGTTTCACAGAATATATGGCTCATGATTTCAAACCAGGCATGAAATGTCCTCTTACGGTGAGAAGCCAGAGAGCGAGTGCTGCTGGTGGAATGGGAGCCCAGTGTAATGTCAGAGCAATCACACTCTTTCAGGACAAGAGGTGAAGAAAACTGGAAAGAAATAAAATGAAGCTTCGATCAGAAATGGTTTCAGTGCCACTTTGCCACAGCTCCAGTATCGCGGCAGCTTTCAGTAACTGCGAGGGAGAGTGTAACAGGGATTCTCATCAGACACCGTGTGTTGTGCTCCCGGACTCTGCTGATGCTCCAATTATCTCCGGGATTATTGCTGGTAAAACAACTAAACATCTTTTACCTTATACAATTACTGTCATAGGATATTCCAAGCCGCCTGACCCGGGAGAGTGGACTTGGATTAATGTCTGGGAATATCAGTCAGCGTTGTGATCTCAGAGTCCCAACATGAACACACCACCTGGTCTGGGAGTAAATCTCTGTGTTTGTGCTTTGTTGTTTGAGGAGTTTGCACCTTTCTGGTGTGTAATTCTCTGTGGCCCATTGCACAGTCACACAAGTAACGTTGATCAGTAGGAAAGTCCCAGCATTAGATCTGATCAAAGCGCACAGGCTGTAGGGTATAACATTCACTGACTCCGATATTCTGATCAATACAATCAGAAACCAACAGATAATTCCCAGTGAAAAGCTTCTGTTTGACATTGAAATCCTGAACTGAAACAATCGGCTGCAGTGAGACGTGAGGAGCCACTGATTCCTGAATTCTCCTTTGGGCACTGGATCTGGAACCTGTACAAGGTCTACAAGTGCTGCGATCTTACAGCAAACCTGTCAGAGCACAACATAAATCTCAAACATCGGGAAATAATCATTGTAACGGCTGAAAAACAGCAGAACACAGAACAGCTCCGTTTGTGGCCACTTCACAAAATACTTTGGCTTTGATAGAATGTGAAGTAAAATATAATAAAGTTATCTTTTTAAAATCAATTTATCAATGATTGTTATTCCAGACACATTTTCATGAAAAGAACAAGGTGTTTATTTGCTGAATTTGAGGACAATCTTGGTGATCAGTCTCTCGGTGATGTGTAGGGAAGAAGTGCCATATTTGACATATTTTGAAAACGGCCAAATAAGGTAATCAGTATACTCAGTATATAATAGTGTTTCCTGTTACATTTAGGGAAAGGCCAAGGCCGCTGGAGCCGCAATGGCTTCTGTGGCAATTCTCTCTCAGTCCATTTCTCAGCTTTGTCTCCATGTACCTTCATGTCCTGACTTATTAAATATCAGTTCTTCCCTCTTCCCAACGGCCCAAATATCTGTTTCTATGGCCTCATTAGGCTGTTCATTCCTCATGTTCACACAGTCTCAATGTGAAAAAAAGTGTTGGAGTACCTGAACAGTGGAGTTAATATTGTGCAGTGCATCGCTGGTGTAATGTGGCACAGATATACAGCCTAATCACCCAGAGAATAATATGCAGTGCCTCTTACACTCAGCTTGTGATATCACTGCTTATTGCCCGGTTGCCTTTGTCAACACATTTTCTGCACTGTTTGTCGTATTCTTACATACACAGTAATTAAGAGGCGCTGACTTTACTCAGCAAACAATAGAAATGATAGAGAGTTCTCTGTCTTTATATTTCTATATTGTTTGGGGTTTATTTTTGTTATTTGCTATTCAAGACTTCAAGTTTACAGGAAATGATTGTGGATGTGATGGAATAGTTCATGTTGCAGAACAGCTCATGAGCAAAATGCTAAACAAGTTACTGCTTTTTATATCTAAAGTCTTCTTGCTTGAAAGACGCTTCACACAGAATGATTCACACCGCCTTCAGGTGGGGCAGAAACTCAGAGCACAACTGTCAGGAAGCAGCTGTGATTGTGTGCAGTCAGTCAGTGAGCAGCTTCCTGCTCTCACACCGTGGGGCCCACAGCCGGACCTTTCATACATTATTCCCCTTCACACCAACAGCAGCTGTTGGGTCACCTCAAGTGGCTGTGATTGGTAAATCAGAGATGGCAGAATATAGAGTCATATTAATACATAAAACTCGTTCTATTTGGCAGTTTCTTTCACGTCTGGTGAACGTTTTTAAATACTTCGGGTACTTCACTTTGAAATGCAGTAAAGTCCCCATTAAGTAACTTCTTTCAAGCACTTTCCTCACCTGGCTCTGCGATTTCCTTCATCCAGTGACCGGCTGCTCCCTTTGCTCAGTGACAATCGCCTGTTTCATATCCCACTGCTCTATCTGCCCCACCATTACCATTAAACTCTTTGGAACTCACAGGCCTTTAGTGGTTTGTTTTCTACTTCATTGAATAACGAGCTGTACCCGTTGCAGCTTCACTTGCAACCAAAGGATCCAATATGGAATGTAGATTCACCCACAGACAGACATTTCATCTTTATTACTTTATGGGGAAGGACTCCTGTGGGAGGACACCATTTGGGAGGACTCGGTGTTATAAAAATGTAATTTTGTTGCTGTTGCCGCGGCTTAGCTTCATCTGTGTTCTTTAATTTGTTCCTGCCACTTGCCTGTGCTAAGAATGCCACAGCGCCACGGCGTGGCCAAAAGGTGTAACTGCAGTGTGTCCGTTATGTACGATCCCATTGCGCCACTTTGACTCGGTGGCCAAGAGGTGTAACTACAGCAATCACACAAAAGTGTAAATAACTGATGAATGATACGAGATACACCAAAATAAATTTGCCCATGTCACTCCCAGCGGCAATAACTTTCTGGCACAGTATAAATCATGTATCTACATCTGTCAGTTATAAGGATCCTTCTTGTAGCGAAGACAGACATTATCGTTTAATTATTATAATAAAGATAGAAGAAAATGAATGGATTTACATTTGTGTCATGAAATCTACTGGTGTAATTCCTGAATCTACTGGTAATAATACAATAATAATATAATTATAATCTTTGCATTTGATATAGCGCTTTTCACGTCTTCTGTACGTCTCAAAGCGCTCAGTAGAATATGCTGCAAAGTGAATTGACTATATGTATTATTATATTCGTGGGCGAAACGGGGCAGCCAATTGCGCACCGCAGTGTCCCACAAACAGTCATGGATTGAAAATTACCAATTTATTATTGTTTTGGAGGGATTATTATTATTAGGCTTGTTAATTACAGTCACGACAATTTCACCCCTTTTAGCAGGCTGGAGCAGAAACCATCTCTGTCTTCTTGTTGGAAAGATGTCCGGGCGCTGGATAATCAGGGGTTTTGGACTCGAGTTGGGAATTGGGTTCAAAAGGGATGGATGGCAGTGGGTGTGACCTTGGAAGAGTGGTCAAAGGAATGATCGAAGAGGAAGATTTTCAGATGTGTCTTGAAGGAGGCAAAAGAGGGGGGGTGTTTGAGGGTATGCGGGATAGAGTTCCAGACTGTGGGGCAGAGATGCTGAATGCCCAGTCACCAATGGTGAAGCAGGAATAAGGGGGGACCTGAAGCAAACTGGTGTCCGCCGAGCGGAGGGAACTACAGCTTGATATGGGTTATGATGTTGGAGAGGTGGGGGGGGAGCAAGACCGGGGACAACCTTGAAGGTGAGAACTTGGGTTTTGTACTCAGTTGTCCAAGAACGGGGATCCAGTGAATCCGGGCAAGAATGGGTGTGATAAGTTCCCGGAGCCTGGAGCGCGAGAGAACAAGTTGCAGTATTCCGGATAATCTGCCTCTTGTGGAAGAAAGAGTTGGGAAGTCCAGTGAGCCGGCAGTTGGCGTAGTCAAACAGGTGCTCAATGAGATGACTCCATTCCCCCAGTGACTGGTCGGCCCTTCCAGGTGCTGCCGATGAGCTGTGCTGTGCTGTCAAAAGGGAATTGGATATACAGACATGAAAAGGGAGAATCTGCACAGCTATGGGGACAGAGCCTGACAGTGTGAGCAGTTGAATTGCTCCTTCACAGAGCCGGTACAGGCTCGATGGGCTGAATGGCCTCTTTCTGTGCTGTCAGTTTCTATGGTTCTACGATATCATTAAATTGGGGTCTTCCCTCTTCCTTTGAAAAAACCGTTCGCGTCTATTTTAAACGTTTCACAATGAAGAATGAAGCAAAACATTTACTCATCAATTATTACGCGATCTCACAGCTTTACCTTTGTTGAATTGACG